ATGAAAAACATCGGATATAACTGGTTGGATTAAACATAGTAATTTACAAAAGTTATTAAATCATTTCACAATGTATAACGAATTATTTTTGCACTACCCCTAAAATATCGATATGGCATATCGGCTAAAATCAATTTTAAACCAATCCGTTAGGAACAAGCAATTATGGAGTAGACAGTAACGAATTTTTATTGATATATGGTTACTGCCATATATATATATACATATGCACCATTTTCTATAAGTAAGTCATGTATGTACATAATACAAACATATATGTTATTTTAATTAATTAAAAATAAATAAAATCATTTCCATAATAAACGAACAATTATCTATTGTGACATGGTCACAACGCCAGGCTGCAATTTTGAATCATATTTCAAATTTATTTCATTTAAAATATATGTTCTATACCTCAAGTTAGTACTGTATTGTCTTGCTCCTGTTGATCATACTTTTCTGTTAGCAATTAAGACAATGGTCTTGTATTTACTGCTTTCAGGAAAAAAGATTTGAATAGAAATAACGTGACTATCAGTTTGCATCGGCAGTTCCTGTATAGATAATTTGGGCCTCCTTACCGTAAGATTTCTAGATCTGGTCTCCGCTTTTACCTATCTACCTCAGCTTTAGAGTTTAAGAAAATACAAACAGATCGCAATGAATATTTATAAGTATACAATTTTTTTTTGAAATTGCAGCTCAATTATTTATTAAAATAAAATGTCATTTCTATTGTAGGACTTTCTCGTGATTTTCAATTTAATTTACAAGTCATTTTCATGTGGCGCCAACTGTTATGTGATTATGTTTAAAAAATTAGTTTTATTTTATTACTCTCTCTGCACTTATATAGAATAGAGGAAGAATATAGAGATTATTCATCAAACGATCCCGCAAGATTTTTACATTTCTGGACTGAAGACACTTTGAAACATCCAGAAATGCAAGAATATTTCGGGGCTTTTCTGTATTTGTGGATGTTAGTGTGGGGAAGAGAGTTACACGTTTTTAGCCATTCATTTTTAAGCTTAATACTTTACATGTGTTTTGTCAGAAATTTCTGAAATTTTGTAGGGAGCTTCGTGTATTAGGGGAATTGATGCTATTAAATTTTGATGGTTAAAAATTAAGGGTTGAGGAAGTACAGATGGTCGTGTGTCATATCTCGAGTAGTGTTAGACGATTTTATTCGTTATTAGCACTTACAACATTTTATAAAACTCGTCCTTACCCTCAATATTGAGCTTTTTACCATTTTATAATAATCAATAACATAGAAACATTTAAATAAATTAACACAACAAACTGTGCCACATGCAGTTTAAATACTCTTGTTGGAAAAGTTATGCAACTCGTTGCTAAATTTTTTAATTATAATAAAAACTAAACATTAAGTTTCTAAAATAGGGGTGAGAATTTTAAATACTAGTGAATTCCAATAACAAATAAAATTTTTATTATATTTAACCTTTGGAACTTCGAACATGAATATGTGTAGCAAAAAACGCAACAGCAGCTATAAAAACAATAATAAATATATAATCTATATAAAAACTTTATGTATAATATTTTTTTATTTATTTATTCACAAAAATACAAATTNAAGCAAATATTATTTATTTTATCAAAAACAAAAACATTTAAAAATCGTTCTGAATCGATTAACGAGGATTAGGCACCGATTCTATCTCTCAGTCACTTGTACTCGCTTTTCATTGCACCTCTCCCCCGTGACACGCGTCGTCACTGTCGTCAGTCCGTCGGTATATATATATCGAAAAAATCTGGCAACCCACATCACCTTTTCTAATGCTTTTTGAAAACTTCACATCCACCCTCATCAGAAAGTGTGTGTTACAAGGAAAAAAATAGCTGTTACTACTTTAACTCCCTTGCGACCTTGCAATTTTTTATATTAATTGTAATTAAACATAAAAAATATTTAAAACTGAAAAAAACGAAAGAAATGCGTTAATATTGAAGAAAAAGCTTCAAACTTTATTTTTAATTTTCTGGCCTTTCTGTGAAATCTGACACTCATGAGTCATTGTGTTTACAGCTGGATGACCTTGAGAAACAGCTGGTGTTGGATTTCACGGGACATTCTCATAGAAGTCTCAGGAGGAGAAAGGTTATAGTATAGTGAATACTAGCTGGCCGTAAATTTTTAAATATTTTTTAAAAAATTAAATTTTTATTGCGATTTTCAACCCTCCAATTTAATTAAACTTATATATAATAAAATTTATTAATTAAAAAATTAAAAACTATTGGAGGTTGCTTATCACATCAGAAACTAGCTTTAAATAACTTTCCAGAAGGAAAATCCGTGCACTACAACTTTAGAACGATGAATTAAATTTGATAAAAAAAATCACATAAAAAAACAATTAAGCATTAATCGTGCGTCATTCATTAAAGGTAAATTAAAATCGCAATAAAATTTTTTCGCTCGGGTAAAAATTTTTGAAAACATTTGGAGACTTAAAAAGCATCCAAAAATCCAAATAAAAAAAAATTTCCAGGGAGTCCAAAAAACCGTTTGTTTTATAACGCTAGGTAACTTGCCCGAGTTATTTCGGGATATGGGCGTGACGTGTTTTAACTTAATACATTTCTTTTTTTAATTTTACATTATTACCGTTATTGTATATGTTAACAAAAGCTGTACATAGAGCTAATACGCCGATAAAAATTTATCTAAATCTAACTATCGTTTTTTGCCTATTCGATAGACTGTCCCCAGGTTAAACGAGAAAAATAATAACGGTGTTCTAAAAATAGAATATATAAATTCAAATACAAAAATGATAGAAAAATTATAACAAAATATATATACATGTATAAATATAAAATAAAATAATAATCAGATATAATATTATATATCATGTAATAATGTCATATATAAAATACAAAAAATGTAGAAATCGAAGGCATAAGTTAGGAGTTTTTACAA